CTCCCATGTGTATCTCTTATTCCAATTTACCAATTTTTTCGCATTATCAGTGAACAAAGCAGTCAGTCTACTGATTACCATGTCATCTGTCATCAGGTAATCTTGAACAAAGACGTCAATATTTTTCAACCATAGTTCATGGTTGTAGGGGAGTTCTCCTGAGAATTTTTCCCATTCACTTGTTTTGGGGATGCCTTTCCATAGTTGATTTCTCACATCTGAACTAATTTCTCCATGATAAATAAAGGGGAATTCTTCAACCCAATATGGAACGGGGTTTCCTTTTGTGATGTTACTCTTAGCAGAATCATATTCCTCTTTGTGAGTTACTGCGGGAGCTATAAAGGTCTGGGAATTCTTTGATTGTTGGCAGTTAACTTCAAGGTCTTGAGGGGGAAGTTGAGGAGCTGCTTCAGATGGAATATTCAAAAGAGGATTGTTGAATTTCAAGTGAGGGGGAGGATCTCTATCTGCTGGCTTGATGATAGAGTCAAGTTTATTGTTCATGCCATATGTGGTCTGGCACACATCTCCTATTCTTCTCTTCAGTTGTTCAAATCTGTTATTTTCACTTATGTCAAACTCACTGATCTGAGTAGAAATATATTGAAAATTATTGGCGGTTCTTCCTTCAGCAGATCTCATGTCCTTCTTTAATTCATCAAACTTAGAGTGAGTTTGGGTATCTCTCACAAACAAGATGTCTTGAAAGTCTTCAAGCTTCTTGTCAATATGTTGTTTCATTTATTCAACATAGCTGGGGAAATGATGGTTATTAGGCTCTTTGCTCAGTTTATCACTCAAACTATCAATTACTTTCTCAAGTAGAGTAGGAACAATTTCATCTTTTATTAGCTTAGAGATGGAATTTTTCATAGAAGAGTTGAAATTTTTTAAGCAAGATTCTAACAGAGTGCTGGGAATAGAGTCTACTGTTCCTGAAAGATCAGAGAGAAAAGTAGAAAACAAATCCTTTTATCTATCTTCAATTAACAAAGGGACATCTCTAGAAAAGTCATTATTGATATTCTGGAGAAAAAATTCTTTATTTGACGGGACAGATAAGTCGTCTATGTCAAAACTATGAGGAGAATCTATTGGTGTGGTTCTTCCTGGGGGTTGCCTCGTCGTTGGACTTGGTTCCTTCCTCCTCCCCTCCCACGATATCAGAAAACTCTTCCGGCTATTCTCTCCGCTCTCATCAGATAATCCCCAACCTGTAGTAATCTCGTTGTCGGATCCCTGTGATTCCTCCCATATCCTCTCCAGTTTCCTCGCGGGGAGGGGTGGGAACGTCGCTGCTGTGGCTCATGTGTCTGGGCCACTTGTGCTTGATGGTGTTGTTCGTAGTTCGGAACAATTTGCTGGGGGTACTGCTGTTGGTGCTGGAAGCCGCCCTGACGATAGTACGGGTGGTGTTGCCCTTGCCTGTGCTGGTTGTAGTAGGCTGAAGCTGGTGGGGGTTGAGTAGATGGTGGCGGGGGTGGAGGCAAATGGTTGCCTCAAGCCAAATGTTGGGTTCGAGCGGTCGGCGGTCTCTGATTTGGCAGTTGGTCTTGTGTTGGTTGTTGGCCATGACCCAGGTACGTGATCCCTGACGTCTGGAGGGCTAGGGGCAACGGAGCCGGTGTGGTGGTCCAGGCTGTTGTGCGCAACAAAACTGCCAAAACCCCTACCTTACAACCTAAACCACTTACATATATGAACATATTATTGCATAATCAGAATCTGCATACAATTTTACCCATAGTCACTCACTACAACTATACGTCTATCTCTATTAGTTTAGAAGATAATCCAATATAAAGGTTAAAGCCATACCATAACTAGTCATTAATTAGTATTTAATAGTATTTTACCACATATATATAAGTACATACACATAAATTATCACATCAGCAGGCCTCCACCAGTAGTGCAGACCATTTATGCAATTCTTGCATGCATATGTGCAACCATTAGGCCTCCACTTAGTTACTTAATTGAATTTACGCAGACTTTGCATAAATGCATGTGGACAGAAAAACCTCCACCAGGCAGTGCAACAAGTTATGCAATCCTTACATACAGTAGTACCATATTTAGTTATTTCCACAGCATAATTAGCTCAATGCATGTACTCTTTTCAGGAGGCAGTGCAACCCACAAGGTCACCACCAGCAAAATCACCTCAACTGCATCACCACCAGCAAAAATAACTCAGAAAAGAATATATAAGGAGGCCTCTCCTTCACCAACTCCCCCCATCATCACCCAGCTAGCACAGTACCCAGCTAGCTCAGTGGTCATCAACATTAAAGTCTAGTCAACACCAGTAACCCCAACACCAACAACACCAACAACAACATCAACAACAGCAACCAACAGTTTCACTACTTTATCCAGAATCACCGTAAAAACCATAAAACCCCATAAAAACATTCCACTTGGATTGTTTTCACACTCATACTCACCGTGTAAAGGTTGTACAACCATCTTGTATTGTATTACATACTGATCTAGGTCTGATAGAGACTACTACATATAAGTTTTCTCCATCATAAAGTTACACCACAACAGTAAATTAAATTGTTGTCAGAATTCTTGTGTAGTAAAGAGAGGGGCAGGTCTTTCAAACCACCCGTAACAGTAAATATTATCTAGTGAAATATCATTATTGTTATTTCCCCCTCAAGGACTGCCAACCCATCCCAAAGGAGTTCTCACACCAGGGAGGGACTGATGGTGTGTGAATGAGCTCATTGGGTGATGGCTAATCTTTGAACTTGCGGGGTAGGGTTGTTCTGTTCCGACCTCTCTAAGTCCGCTAGTTCTTCGCGAGCGATCCAATTCTCGCAGATCCTGAGCATCTCCTCCCCTCCAGCTAGATTCCTGATAACTTCCTGACTTCCCACCGCTTGCTGGAGTGCCAAACGCATCATAGGTACGTTCTGATTTTCTCTCGCTTGGACAAACATCAACCACTGGTCGTTGAATAGATTTATCACCGTTTCCAGTTGAGGGTTGTCCACTATGATGTCTTCTGGGCCCTCCCAGGCTGGAGTCTGATTCAGCGCTGGGGAAGGGGTTGGATTTAACTGACTAGGGGTCGTAGATTGATTGAATCTGGAGCCCTGTCGCGGTATTCATGTGGACTGTGAATTCCTGGCGTTCTATAGGGTGTGGGACCGGTGTCGATCTGGTCGACATAGTTTCTAACGCCAAAGACGTTGCTCATGAGTTGATGAGAGCTGGCGAGATTCCCTGCTCCGTTGGTGGTGCTCCTGACTTTCTCATCCTCACGCTGGCTTTGCTGAGGGAAGGTAGGTTTCTGGTTAAACGTTTGAAGCCGCTCAGTTGCAGCGGGGCTAAGTTGGTATAGCGAGTCATCTCCTCGCTGTAGTCCAACAAGTCCAGCTCTGGCTCCTGAGTCCTGCTGTCGGTGGTCTGGTTGTGTGAGCTCTCTTTGCTCGCGTTCGAGTTCTCGTTGTTGTTGTTCAACAGAGATGTTGCGTCCATTTCTTAAATGGCCGCCCATCGCGACAAAGAAGAAGGTAGAAAGAAGAAGAAAAAAAAATATGATTTAGTTAACTTCGGTTCTGTGTGGGGGTCGGGAGGTAGTGTTTGATTGGCAGGTACAAAGAGTTATAGTGGGAAACGTGGAAAGGAATAAAAGGAGATGAGAGAGCGGTACCTTTAAGTATTTGCTCTTTGGAACACCTTTTCGTTTTTGTCTTATCAGAAGGAGCGGATGAGGGAGTTACTGTTGGGGTGCAATCAACAAGGCGTGTTAGAATTAGTTCGGAGCCAATCGGTAGAAGACAGAGTCGATGGAATGAGAAATAATATGTTTTTCTTTTTAATCCTGTTTCTTTTTGGTTGTTTCTTTCCTGAATTGGGAGGAGTGTACGAGGGAGTCCACACAGAGAAACGAGTCGGTTCTTTGTGATTGACTGCTCGTTTCTTCTTTTTTGTTCGGAGACACTAGTAGTGGCGATGGGAGTCCACTCAGCCGATGATACAAGATTTCCTTCCTTGGGTCGGGCTAGCCTCTGTTTCTCAAGAAGATCTAAATCGGCTTCCACGTCAGACGGAATCGACGACAAGTCCGATGAAAGGTGAAGAGATTGTTGAGGCGAGTCGGGTATAACACTTCTGCTAGTCTTCACTTCGCGGTTTCGACAAGGTATTCCGGATTTTGAAAAAAAGGAAGGATAAATGAGAAACAGGATCAGAAACGATCGATCGGGGGGTTTTTTTTATGAATCGTGGAAAGAAACTAGTATTTGAGAAAGGTTGTAGAAAAAGGTTTTGGCAAGCGCTCCGCGATGGAAATTTGAAAAATTTTACGAGCGCTTCGCGATGGAATTTAGAGAAGTATGTTTTGAAAAATTTGGAAAATAGAAATTATCAACAGTTTTTATTTATATATATATTTTTTTTTTTCTTTTTGAATTATAATGAAGCTTTTAAGAGTTTTTTTTTCTTTTAGAGGCCTGATGAATGATGATTAGAGTTTAAGAGTATGATTATAAGAGGTCTAAAGAGAATATATATTTCCCGATGAGGCCCCCAATTGTGAGCCTGGGTCTCAACAGTGACGGCAGGACACAAGGATGGGGGGGGGCAAAACTAGATGTATTTCTGAGGGATAAGGAAATACAACTAGAAGGAGAGGCAAGGAAAAGAGAAAGAGAAAGAGAAATGAAATGAATAAAGATTTTTTATTTGTTTATTTGTTTTATAATCAAGGTTTGATGCAGTCTTACTTTCCTGAGAAGGATGGCTGTTATTTAAGCGGAATTAATCTACGCCTCCTATCAACTGAAACTGAATAGGGTACTTGGTATTGATATATCAATCCAACCTCAATTTTTTAGATCAAAGATCAAGGTTCTTTAAAGGGAAACCTAGGTGGTTTGCAGTTATACCACCAAACAAAGAGTAAAGATAACTTGATTTGATTTGATGATGGTTTAGGCAGAGGTTTAGTAGAAAAGGAATGATGTGATCATTCAGAGAGACAGAGAAGGAACTTAGCAGAAAGATGCAAGCTGAACTTGAAGGAATGACTTACTATTTGGTGATCCTGACACTGAGAGTGGGAAGATTCCAAAGAGTAAAGGACTCCAAACGATAACACGGCGATGATACGGCGGTGAATCCAAGTTGAGGTATGCTGGTTTTCTGGTCTGAGTTGGTTCTGGGTGGGTCTGAAGCTTGAAGATCCTGAAAATGCGAACTCAGTGTCTACTGAGAGAATATTCAGAGTTGGATTACATAATCACACCATGTACATGTGGTAGAGAGTTGCAATTCCAACTTGGTAGATATTTCACAATGGTACGGTGAAATATTACAAAGTCTGTGAAGGAGAGGAGTAGTGTAAAAGTGTGTAGGGGTGACTAAGGTTAAAATTAACAGAGGAATTCATTTCTGAAGTCAGAATGCAATAAAAGATTAAGATGAAAAATTTACAGTAGGGACTTGAATGAAAAAGGAGGACTTAGGCAGTCTTTTGGCCAGCTTGGCTGGCAGCGGGTGCGGGTGCGGATGCGGATGCCTAGATGGCCGGAAAAATCAGCCGGATATCCGCATCCGTGCGGATATCCAGATGCAAATCGCCCATCTCTATCCTTGATTGACAGTTGTCAATCAATATGGGAAAAGCTGGTTACTGGTGAATCAATATTTACAGAATTTGAAAATCAAGAAGAACTGCGTGAGGAGGGACTGTTGGAACAAGAAGAGTTGCAATTCTTGGATGCTCAGCAAGATGACCTTATTGATCTTACCATGAATAATAATGATTAAAAATCTGTTACAAATGATAGAACACTGGAGTTTTTTAATTTTTATTCATGATTCTTATAACAACAATCACAATAATATAATAAAAGAAATAAGTGATGAGAAATAAAGAAAAAATACTTGACAGAATAATTGATCTGTTAAATGGGGCTTGGATGTAGAACTTGAGCCCAACAAGCCAACTATTCATCTCTAGAGATAAAACCAGGCTCATGCTTTGGAATTTTTTTATTTTGTTTATTTAGCATGGTTATCAAACTGATTTGTAACTTTCCAGTTTGGTTTTAAAAGCTTGATAAAAAACCCTTCCCAGTCTAGATTGAAGCCTCTCCACTGTGGGTTGAAGCTTGATATGTATGATAAATTGAATTGATAGTATAATTTTGATACTAAATTTATATAATGATTAGGTTATGTTAAAGGTTTTATGAAAAGATGATAATCAGTAAGATCTGCCAGCAGCACATTAATCAGAAAAAAAATATTACTAATAATCTTCATCAACTGTCTTGTTTATTGAGATAGAAATAGAAATAAAAATGAATTAATGTTGCTACTGACATCATAGAAGTGCTTGTATCTGAAAATGTATCAATTTTTTGTAATTTTTTTCCTGGTTTGACCATCTAAGATTGTAATCTGTCTTTAGAGCTGAGTGATTTGGAGTCTGGTGATCTGTGTACATGTACAGGGTGAGCTGAGTTGAGTTTACATGAACATGGGAAGCTGAGTTGAGCTGAGTGAGACCAGTGAGCTGAGTACCTTTACAGGGTGAACTGAGTTGAGCTGAGTGAGACCAGTGTATACAGGGTCAGCTGAATTGAGCTGAGTGAGTCAGTACATGTACAGGGTGAGCTGGGTAGAGTTGAGTGAGACCAGTGAACTGAGTACATGTACCGGGTGAGCTGGGTAGAGTTGAGTGAGACAGGTGAGCTGAGTACATGTACAGGGTGAGCTGAGTTGAGCTGAGTGAGTCCGATGAGCTGAGCACTTGTACATGGTGAGCTGGGTAGAGTTGAGTGAGTCCAGTAGCTGAGTACATGTACAGGGTGAGCTGAGTTGAGCTGAGTGAGACTGGTGAGCTGATTACATGTACAGGGTGAGCTGGGTAGAGTTGAGTGAGACCGGTGAGCTGAGTACATGTACAGGGTGAGCTGAGTGAGTCCGATGAGCTGAGCACTTGTACAGGGTGAGCTGAGTTGAGCTGAGTGAGTCCGATGAGCTGAGTACATGTACAGGGTGAGCTGGGTAGAGTTGAGTGAGACCAGTGAGCTGAGTACATGTACAGGGTGAGCTGAGTACATGTACAGGGTGAGCTGAGTTGAGCTGAGTGAGTAGGATGAGCTGAGTACATGTACAGGGTGAGCTGAGTTGAGCTGAGTGAGTCTGAGTCTGGTGAGCTGTGTACATATACAGGGTGAGCTGAGTTGAGCTGAGTTGAGCTGAGTGAGTTGGAGTCTGGGGGGCTCAGAGTGTTTACTGTAGAGCTGAGTTAGACCGGTCTCACTCAAAGTGTTTACTGGAGTAGTGAGGGACTCAGAGGTGCTTCATGGAGGTGAATGGATGACTTTTGAGTTATTTAGCAATGGTGGTGGAGTTCATCTCACCCCATCTCACCCAGCTCCAGCATGAATACGGTCCCAAACCGAGGATGATGACACATTTATCTTTGGTTTAAAACCGAGGTTTTCAAAAGCAGATTGGCGTGCAGGTCCTAAACCCGTATTAATATGGGTTTAGGACCAGGGCTATCCCATAGGACCCAGGCATGGGTCCTATGGGATAGCCTAGTGTTTGAAAGAAAAAAAACAGCTTGTCAATCCTTGTAGGACACCGGCCGGTGTCCTACAAGGTTGACAAGGCCCACCTTGCTGGCCAGGAGGGAATCCTCCTGGCTGGTGAGGTTGTACAACCTTGTGGACCAGGAGGGAATCCTGGCCGGCGAGGCTGTACCACCTCGTTGACCAGGAGGGAATCCTCCTGGCCAGCGAGGTTGTACAGCTCGTTGACCAGGAGGGAATCCTCCTGGCCGGCGAGGCTTGTCAGCCTCTGGGTAACTAACCTGAGTATTTAATAGTAAAAAGGTTGTTACTATGAGTTGACTGAAGTTTTGAGAGTGATGAGTGTTAGGTAGTGGGTGATTAATACCAGTCCTGTAATGAGGAGGTTTCACTCTATCAGTATGGTCTTTACTGAGAGGCTTGCTATCAACAGCGCATCCGGATCAATACAAGGTATTAATAGGCATCCAGGGTACTAAGACTCACCTGGGATTGATTTGGTTATTCCCAAAAGGGAATGGGCTAACAATACTTATTAAGCTTTAACAAAATTAGTTGAAGATTAACAGGTATTGTTGATGGGAATATTCAGCAAGGCTATGAATACTGTGGATAAGTTGAGTAAGAGTACTGAAGCTTAAGAACAATAAAGGTAGACAAGATTTATGTTGGTTACGTGTACTGTATCAATATAAATGTTAACTGGTTTAACTGGTGTCTGAATATTCTGGGGATTAATCAGTGAAAGAGGCACGGATTATAAGTTCCAGAATATTGAAGGAGGGAAAGAATGAGCGCTCAGAATCAAGGGAGCTTTGGCCAGGAGAATGAGCAGATCAATTGAGTGACTGATCATTATTTGTCATGGTCTGTAAGTGACATCATAATTGTGTACTAGTTGATCAATGTACTAGTTGCTCTTGATGCGTGTACTTAACAGATCCTCTAATAATGTAGTCATAATTATGATCAGTGCATGTATTGAATGTATTAATTCTATTGACACTTAATACTTACTATTTAATACATGTACATATTTATTTGTAATAATATTTGACCGTGAAAATACTGTAGACTAGGGATAACTTGTGGTACAGGTATTTCACGGACACAGGAGTGAAAGGTAAGTGATAATTACTTATGTATAAAACAGATATGTATTTAATAGATAAGTAATTAACAGATAAGATAAATGTAAGATAAATAAGGTAGGTTAATAATAATGGTAAGATAACAAGAGGTAAAGGTAATCAACATTATGGATAGGTACTTATGTACATAAGTACAGGTGTTGCAGTTACTTGGTACATGAAAGGTACTGTGACATGTACTCTGTGACTGACAAGGCTGTACATCCTTGTCGACCAGGAGGGAATCCTGGCTAGCGAGGCTGTACAACCTGATTGACCAGGAGGATTTGGTCGAC